TGGCTGCATGAGTAAGGGAATTCTGAGACGAGGACGAGGCTCCTGTGGCAGGAGAGCCAGCACAGCTAAAACACCTCCCCTCCCTTGCTTTTAGTATAAATGGTTTCTAACACTGATTCCTCCCCTCCTTTGCTGCCTTTTGAGTCACTGGGACACATTTCAGGATTTGGGAATGGTGGAGAAATATTGGCCCATGGGATTTTTGTCATTAGCTGAGTTATCAGCTCAGACCAACAGTGCCTTTCCAGTCTGTGATTATGAAAAATGCTCCTTGTGATCAGCAAAAAAACTAAAAAAAACCCATGGAAATGTCTTGGCTGCTTATCTTCATGGCTGAAGTTTTCCCCATTCAATGATTTAACTCTCACACACACTTAACTCACACATCCCTCCTCTCCCTGAGCTGGGCTCCAGAAAAAGAGCTGGGACTTTATTCTGGGTTTTCTCCCACTTTTATATCTTTTTTCCTGTCTTTCTCACTGAGAGAACACTGAAATATTAATGTGGGAGCCTGTGTTGGTGTGTGTTGCTACTCTGACCCTCTGAGAGGTCATGTGTCAACAGCAGAGATGGAAAAATTTGTTTTTCTGGTTTGTGTCTAATGAAAGTAGAGTGGTTCTCTTTGAATCCAGTTTAAAAAATTACCACAAAATAGTAAATAGAAACCAGCTGCAGCCAGGATTAGAGGATTTCCTCGACAGTGTTGGTGTCAGTTCACAAAACTAATTTATTCCTCGACCACAAACACCAACACCCTCCAGTGGATCCTCTTTTTTGCTTTCTTAATCACAAGAACGATTGACAAATGCTAAAACCCTTCCTCTCCCTTGCCCAGTTTAGGATATTTTCCCCCTGTGGCCTCCTAGCTCAGACTTTCTCTTTTTATTTCTTCCAGCTTTGGAAAGCAGCACCTACACCCACAGAAAACAGACCACAAGCAAAGCTTGGAGAACTTGCTCTCTTCTGAGGGTTTGTTAAGAAAAATCATCAGTCCCAGGCCAGGACCATTTCTGCAACACCCCCAACCCTTTTTTTCCATCAGTTCTGGGCATGTTTCACCTCAAAACAACCTCCACGTGCTGTCCTTTTATGTTGCTGGAAAGAAACCTTGTGAAGATTTCTCAGAAAATAATGGCACATAAAAGTCTTCCAGTTACAGGACAAGGTCTGTTCTGTCGCTTGTGACAGGAAAACTTTTAATTACTGGGAGCTTTCATTGATTTCTGGGCTCTTGCAGCTCTGAGTCTTTATCTGTCAATCATCTATCTATCTATCAATCATCTATTTATCAATCATCTATCTATCTATCTATCTATCTGTCAATCATCTATGTATTTATGTATCTATCATCTATCAATCAATCAATCATCTATTTATCTATCAATCATCTATTTAATCTATTTATCTATTTATCTATCAATTATCTATCTATCTATCTGTCAGTCATCTATATATCTACTTATGTATCTATCATCTATCTATAAATCATCTATTTAATCTATCATCTATTTATCTATTATCTATCTATCTGTCTATCTATCTATCTATCTATCTATCTATCTATCTATCTATCTATCTCTCTATCTCTCTATCTCCTATATCCCTGTCTAGGAATTGCAAGAGGAAAACAAAAAGCCAGAAATGCAGGCAGTGATTGGGAATCCCAGCAAGCCCTGATTGTCCAGATGAAGCCACCTCTGAGCCTCTCCCCACAAACCCCCTGCCCCTTGGAGCTGCAGACAAGCTCAGGCTCTTCTCCTGAGCCCTCTGAGAGATGCAGGCAGGCTCAAAGTTGCTCTTTCCTGGCTCTGTTTTGTTGTTTTGTGTTTTCCTGGTGGCCACTGAGCTGTCACATGAAGCTGTCATTAATGCCAGCTCTGCTTGGTTCTGCCCACAGGAATGAAAACTTGACTTCTTCCAGGGGAAGCCAAAGTTCTGACAGCCTTGTGTGGTACAGGAGTTTTGTGAGCAGTGAGTTCACACTCCAGCATGCAGAGGAAAAGCAAATATTAGCCTCAGTTATTTTTCTGTTTGTTTTTTTTCCACAAACATCAAGCCAAGCGAGAAGAAGGTGTGTTGGATTATTGTCTGAAGGATTTTGCACAGAACCTTTGGAATGAATCTAATCCAAGACAATAAGAAAAAAACCCATTCCTTACACAGACTGCACCTGGTACCTTCACAGCCCACTTTCAATCCAGTTCATTTCTTATGGCAGGCATTTTCCAGTTGTTTCTCCAGTTATTTTCAGCAGCATCAGCTCACACGGATATTGTGCCTTTCTCCATATCCTTCCATCCCTCTTGCCTTGCCCACACCTACACCTCAAAGCTTTCTACCCTGCTTTATTACACACTTCAGTAAACCCAGTGTTTCTTGCTTGGATGGAATTCTTGGCTGGTAGAGTGGATGTTAATGGATGTGAGGAATGGCTGAGGGAGCTGGGGTTGTTTATCCTGGAGCGAAGGAGACTCAGGGCTGATTTTATCACTCTCCACAGCTCCTGAAAGGTGGCTGTGTCACCTGGGCTTGGGCTCTGTCTCCAGGCAGCTCTGACACAGCCCCAAGCTGTGCCAAGGGAATTCAGGTTGGATATTGGGAAAAAGTTTTTCATGGAAAGAGTGATAAAATACTGGAATGTTCTGCCCAGGGGGGTGGTGGAGTCACCAGCCCTGGGTGTGTTAAATAAAGCCTGGATGTGGCTCTGGGTGCCAGGGGTCACTTGAGGGCTTGGGCTGGGTTGGACTCGATGATCTTGGAGGTCTCTTCCAACCTGGTCACTCTGTGAATTTTTCTGTGAATTCTGTGAATTCTATGTGGAAATCTTGAAGGTGCTGTAGATCCCAGTGAAGTTACCCTGGGTCTGGGGAAGCTGTGCTGCACAGAATGATGAGCACAGCTGCCTGAAGAGGTTTGAGGAGCAGTTTAAGAGTGTCTGTGTCATGGGAGATCTGCACTGGGAGTGCTCTGGCTGATGGAACCATGGAATTATTGGCATTTAGGTTGGAAAAGATCTCTTGGATCGCTGAGTCCAACCATCCAATAATATAAAATGATGTCCCTGCATCTGTCAAACCCCTCCAGGATTGGCTGATGGGACCATATTTTGGTCTGTCCCATGGCCACAAAGCTGCAGAGCTGGTCAGAGCTGTGGTTGCCCAGCCATGCATGCTGTGAGCTCCACCAGGGTTTCAAACAGGAGGATTTTACACAAAAGTCACATCCCTGCTACGAGATCCTGCCAGCATCACTTCCCTTCCCCAGCCCAACTGGACCTGGCTGCATGACAGACCTGGAAGTGGTTGTTGTTTTTTTGGAAAGTGCTCTTCATCAAGATGTGAGTCATTGGCTTTTTTGAGGACGTTTTTAGTGCCACTTGTCTGTTTAATCAGGTTCTTTGTCCTTAAACAAAAGCAGCAAATATGTTTTGAAAGCCCTGTAATATATGCTTTAAAAATAACCCAGTAACCCCCAAAAACAGAGAAAAAAACGTCCAGAGTTTCCTTACAAGGAAGATGCAAAGCCATTCTGGTGCCCAGAAGATTTCTTAAATCCAAAGCAAATTAATTAACAACAGCTCTGTGTGGCAGCCACATTTGCAGATGAAAAGTGTGTTTAATGCATTCTCCCAGACCCTTTTTGAATACGTTTCAGTCATCTTGGCAAGCAGCATTCCAACGTGCTGACATCCCAGCCAGCACCAGCCAGGCCCTCCTTAGGAAATAGCTCCAATCCAGCACTTCCCACTACTGACCAAGAGGAAAAAATTCTGAATTTTTGGGGTTTTTCACCTTAGCAACAGTTTTTATGTGTCATGATGAATCTTGGTAAAACCAATAGGGGTTAACTGAAAATGAACAGTTATTTGTAAGTTTGGAAAAGAAAACGCCCAAATAGTTCTTTTCATGTTTAGATAAGGTTGTTTTTCCTTTTCTTAATTGTCCATATTGTTGTCTCACTAACTAAAGCTTCCATAAAAATCTTTATTTTTCCTTTCCAGCACAAGCCCTTTCCATAAGAAGAGCCCTGAAACCGAGCAAGTCATAGATTTTAGTTTCCATGTTTGAAAACCCCAATATTTAATGGCAGAGCCCAGCTCAGTGTGATGAGCCATGTCCCTCCCCCTCAGCTATAGGTATGAAATTAGTATTCTGCTTTTACCTCCTGCAACTGCATCAAAGGTAACTGAGCAAGGTTTAATTAAAATTCTAATTACTTCTTTATGTTCCAGCAAAGCAGAACAAATCCCCAGCTTTGCTCCTCTTTGGAATGCCAACTGGAGAATAAATATTCATCTCCAGCTTGGTGGCTGAGCCAGTGTTTGGCCAGTGGGCTCAACGGGTTCCCAGAAAAGATGCAAACCAGAGCAGTATAAAATTCCTTGGAAGGACCCTCACTGCTGTCTCCTGACTGGTCACACGAAAAATTGGATTAAAAGATTGACTTTGTTTGTAGTTATGGTATCTCACAGGATGAATTTATCTCACAGGATGAGTTTCCTGATAGGAAGATGATATTTTTTTCCTTGGAGTGGGAATCATCAGTGCTGAGCACAGATCTGTGAGTGTATTTCTATCCTGGCCTTTTATACTTTTAAGTCACCTGGCTGCAGACATAAACACAGAAACCCCTAAAGATCCTGTTCCTACAGCAGACATGGTCATAAATATCTGCTCTAGCTCACAAAGAGGATTTTCTATGTGGAAAAAGTACAAGATTGCTTCCCTGGTTCTCAGAATTTTGTTCCTCATCACCAGAGACATTTGGTCTCATTTGAGACTGGCGGTTTTTTCACGCTCCCTGCTTTGCAGTGGTGAGCTTTTTGACAGCTTCGAGTTTTGCTTTTTTTTGACAGCTTTGCAAGAAGAAATCGCTCCCTCAGAGCTTTTCTGATCAGCATTACCACACCCACCACAACCACAACCACAACCCTCCCTGCCCAGAAACTCAAGACAGGCGAACACACACACACACACACACAGGGGCTTGGCTCTACTTACCAAGAGGCATCACCACAAAAAACGGGAGCCAGCAGAGAACGAAGCACCCTACAACAATCCCCAGGGTTTTGGCAGCTTTCTTTTCCCTGGAGAACTTGAGCAGGCGTACAGAGAAGTGGTGCTTGCTCTTGGGGTTGGGCGCCGAGCCGCCGGCTCCGGGCGCGTTCTTGCGGTGGATGCGCAGCGTCACCTCCTCGGAATGGGATTTCTCTGTCTTCAGCCCCGAGCTCAGCCCTTTGTTTTCCCTCTTGGCCACCACGTAGACCCGGCAGTACATCACCAGGATGATGATGAGCGGCAGGTAGAAGGAGCCCAGCGCTGAGAACAAGACGTAGCCGGGCTCCTCGGTGATCTGGCAGATTGTCTCGTCCTCCGGGGCTGGCTCCTTCCAGCCGAACAGGGGCCCGATGGAGATGACCAGGGACAGTGCCCAGACACACAGCAGGGCCAGGACCCCCCTCCTCTCTGTCACAATGCTGGGGTACCTCAGCGGGTAGCTCACCCCGATGTACCGGTCGATGGAGATGATGCAGAGGCTCATGATGGAAGCGGTGCAGCAAAGCACGTCAACAGCTGCCCAGATGTTGCAGAAGATCCTCCCAAAGACCCAGTAGCCCAAAATCTCCATGGTAGCTGAGAAGGGCAGGACGGTAGAAGTCAGGAGGAGGTCGGCTACAGCCAGGTTGATGATGTAATAGTGGGTGACACTCTGGAGGTGTCTGTGGCAGGCTACGGACAGGATAACCAGGATGTTACCCAAAACCCCAAAAACAATCAGCCCCCCCAGAATAATACCCAGTAAGATGGCCTTGGAAATGTTCACGGGCTCCACGAAGTGGGTGCAGTTGGAGCACTCGGAGGAGTTTCCAGGGAGGAAAGCCATGGCTGGTAATGTCCATGTGAGGCTGCTCAACTCCACTCCCTTTCCAGGCAGGAACAGTGACAAGATCAGTTCTTGGAAGGTCTGACTGGCAACATTTGCCTGGCCTTGCTGGGGAAAAAAGTTTTGAAGAATGTCTTAGAACTGCAGCACCAGCAGCAATGAGAAAGATCCAGAAACATATTAGAAAACCTACCTTTGCTCCCAAGCTCTCACCAGAACAACACGGCTGATACTCACCAGTTCCAAGTCAAATTTAATTCCTTCTGCATTTTCCTTGGGGTGCACAAGTGGGATACACAAACCTGAGGCTGTTTATCCCACGTTCCAGGGTTATGTGATGAGAAATGCTGGAGCTGCAGGTTAAAGTCATTTCTGTCTTTTGGGGAAGGTTCTGTATTTAAGGAAAGTAAATATTCCAAAAGGTCTCCAATTTAGCTTCTCCTGAGAGGAAATCACTGATGATTTTAATTGCCTGGTGTTAGTCCTGAGTCTACCTTAGAATTGGCTCAGAAACCTGACTGGGTGGAGGCTGCTGCTGTGTCTGCAGTTCTGTTTGAGGTACCCATCTCTCCCCATCCTCAGGGTCCGGGATCTCAGTCAGAGCTTCCCAAATGTGGAGCACTCATCAGTCGAGGTCCTGGGCTGCAAATTAAAGCTCATTTACATCAGCTCCTGGCTTGCTCCGAGGGGAGGAGTGGAGTTTGCCGTGTGCCCGGGGCGTGCTCCTATGCTCTCTGCAGATCCTCACCCCCCTGCAGAAGACAAAAACACGAACAATGTGATTCCCAGAAGCCACACTCGCTGCTAGGGTTCCCATATAAGAATAGAGCAGGAGGCTATTTTAGGGTGCTTTCCTCAGGCTGGCTCCAGCCAGTGGAACCAACCTTTTCCAGCCCAGCATTGTTCAACAGCGACTGAGAGATCCAGGTGGGTTTTCCTGCCTGAATTTTCCTTCTTTATGGGGATAGGCATCAATCCTAATTATCAGCTCACCTGCAGAGACCAGTGCTAGGAGAGACAGAAGCCTGCAGGACACGATTCAGGACTATATAAACTGTACAGCAGATTTAGAAGCCCAGAATTTAATCTCAGGTTTCTTGACTAAGTGAGACCTTTCCCCACTGAATTGTTATTCCAGCTGAGCTGCCCATTTTGAAAATCTATGGGGAAAAGCAACTCCAAAGCCAAGCAGAAGACGTTGCAAGGAGCAAGGCTGCTGGTGAGTGACACAACATTTCAGAGTGTCTGCAAGCCAAGCTCAGCCTTTGCTGACTAAATATGGAGAAAAGGTATCTCAGATGGAAAAGTGAGGATTAGCCTGGGAACTGAGACCTGGGTGCATGGAGAGGAGAGCTGCAAGTGGGAGCTGCAAAACCTTCCTCAACACCTGCACGTGGATACAGAATTCCCATCCCAAATATTAATCAGAGGTGAAAAACCACCACTAAGACCCCAGATGAGGAAGGACTCTCTCAGTGTCCTTTGGGATGAATCCCTCAGCATTTTAAGCAGCAACAACTGTCCCGTTTCCAACCCTCCACGCTGAACTTTCCTGCAGGCAAAAACATTTCAAACTCTGAATCCCGAAATTCCCAGTTCACAGGCAGGGAAGAGGGGGAAGGGGGACATGCAGAGGTATCACACTGTGGGAATTTTACTTCAGCTCACTAAAATGAAACTGGATCTTTTATTTTCTTTCCCGCCAGATGGAACAAACAGAGGAATAATCCTGAAGGAAGAAAAGGACAGATTATCTAAGCACATGCATGAAAAGTGAGTGTTGCATCGAGCATCTCTGAGCATTTTAATTGTGGACATTACAGGATACAAAATGAGGTTATTATAGAGAAAATTAGAGAAATTATTAATTGGATTTTTAAGCACATGAAGAAAAACTTCCCAGCAAGTCAAGGAGATGCAGCAGAAAGAGCTGACAGAAATTTCCATGCTCAAACCCAAATAATGCCCAGCCTGTGGAGAGAGCTGATGCTGGGAAGAGCAGACCCCAGGCTCCTGAGCCTGCCCCACACTCACCTCCTCAGTCTCTAGAAGGCAGCACAGCTCCTCTGAGCATCTGGGCAGGAGATTCAGAGCACGGCAGGCTCCTGTTCCCGGCAGGGATGGGACTCAGTGCCCGGGAATGCTCTGCTTTCCTCCCTTGGTTCCCGGGTGGTATTCCAGCAGCCGGCAGTGGGGCCGGTTCCCTGCATCCCGCGGCTGTCAGGGGCTGGCTCCAGGCTCCCCGGAGGGATCCGTGCCCCTCTCAGGGCTCAGCTCCACTCGGGGAAGGAGCAGCAGCAACTTTGCTGCTCTGCTGATGCAGCGGAGCAGGAGCTTGCCATTACCGTAATGCACCGCCACTCCCGTATTGCCCAGAAAGAAAGAGCACTC